AGTTTTTTGTGAAATTATTAGTAACTTTGATATGAAATTGGAGCAGCCTAGGTTTAAATATTACCAGCCACGATTTTAAAGCGGATTTTCTAAGAATTGATACGATTATGTGATCGAGTCTAAGTTTCGGCCTCTAAAAGAACGCCTAACCTGTGAAGAAGTGTTAGATTATAAAACAATCGGGTTTTCTATAGAGTGCCCATGGGCACTCTATAAGAGAGGAGAGAAACAGAGAGAAATGAATGATGAGGGGATCCCAATGCAAATTAGGGGGAGCCCTCTTCATTTATTTCTCTCTATCTCTCTCCTCCCTTATAAAGTGCCCATGATCACTCTATAGAAAAACCGTAAAACAATAACCCTCAACCCATATAACAACTTTAAAGTTTGGGTGTGATTATTTGGGCTCAAGAACTCCTCTTAATAAATAAGATTGATAGAAATCGGGATTATTCCCTCATTCTATGGTTTATTTTGAAAGGTAAACCATTATTTGTTTGGAGGGTATTTTGGTAAATTTAGAAGAAATAACCATTTCTCTATATTCCCACATTAAATGCAGCACAACAATTTTATATATTAGAAAATGAAAGAATAATGGATCCAAAACACTAACAAAACCTCTACTAATATGTAATACTGAAATACTAAAAAATAATTGCAATGGTAAAAGCTGTTATAGGATGCAAAATAACCAAGTATTAATCCCTGTTGGGAAACCGACACGTGTCTCACTCCCCACTTAAGCAGATTATTTCAGAGACTGACAACTCTAGTTGTTTTAGCAGCCGACAACTTGCGTAACCACTAAAAATGGGGTGTTTGTCGGCCTTCAGCCAAATGACTGGAGAGGTAGTGTGTCCTCAAACTCCACGCCAACAACCAACTAACTTCGCCTTAAATATGCTGTCAGAGTCATCATTGCTCTAGCCCTCAAAATCTTTATGACTCATCAGATATAGTCAGCGTTAAACACATGCTGTCACCTTCACATTAAACTTCTGGATGACTCACCTTCTTCAGTGGCCAGCACCTGTAAGGTACCTGTCGATTTAGCTGCTTGTCTCGGCCAAAGTTACCTATCCGTCCTTCTGATCTACTATAAAAGGAAGCTGTGCAGCCTAAGGTAAATTCTTCGGGTTTTTATGCAACTCTGAATAATTCCTCTCACTATTTATCTTATATTTTCCATTCAAGTTTAAATACAAACTCGATCGTTGGAGAAACTACCGAAGAACCCAACTCTGGCTTCTCACGAGCTTTTCACATGCATGAGAGAAGGTCGTGCTCCAGAACTAGTCATCTAGGGAAGCTCGAGGACCCAAACTCTATTTTAATCCACAAATAAGCCCCGTATTTGATAACTTACATCAACAAAAGCTATTCATGCGCTTGATATTTGGATTGATATATATACTAAGAGAAAAAAATTTCTTTGAAATCAAATGAACGAAATTAAAATATCTAAAAAAAACCTTTAAACTAAAATATAAAAAATATTAAAATAAACTTTTGCCTTCATTTTCTTAAAAAAAATATGCTTGAGATGTATACACAAGTATGCGCACGTTTCTATTTTCGTTCCCACTTCATTTTCTAATAGCACATAATCATGAGAATGAAAATAAGCATTTCATTCACACACATATTCCATTCCATGCGTCATTCCATTTTCATTTGATCTCATTCCCGAGTCTGAAATGAGGTGTCTGGGGTTTTTAGCACCTGCATTATGCACATGCAAGGTGGCTAGTACGAGCAATGAATTTGTGCTAGTTACACCAAACACCTACAAACAAGACGATATTATGGACAGCTCCTGAACAAATTAATGAAGTAACACACGATAAATTAAAGAAGCCAGCCACTAAAAAACACAGCACAGAAGACCAACACCATTTGGAAGAAGACGGCGAGGAAACACATATTATTAAGAACGGTTTTTCTATAGAGTGCCCTTGGGCACTCTATAAGAGAGGAGAGAGATAGAGAGAAATGAATGAGGAGGGGGGCCCCCTGATTTGCATTGGGATCATCTCTTCATTCATTTCTCTCTATCTCTCTCCTCTCTTATAGAGTGTCCAAGGGCACTCTATAGAAAAACCGTATTAAGAATATGTGTTTTAGATATAGATCCCTTGCATCATTAATAATTGCATATTAGTCCCTGAAATCTTGAAAATTGCATATGCGTTCCTCAAATCCTGTAGCATCTTGGAAAATGGTCCTTTTAAGTTAAATTTCCTTAGATTTGAGAGAAATATTCCATCACATGAGACAGTTGGAGGCAAAGTAACTGTTTTACCCCCTTCATTATGTTTCCCAACTTCTTTTATCCTCCTAGAAATGAATAGAGGTTCCCTCTCCTAGCTTCCATTGGACTAAACTCATGAAATGTTGGTGGACATAGTTAATGTCATGCCAGAACTTAGATGTAGAGGTAGGAGATGTGCTAAATAAGGTGGAGTTGTTTTCTAACACGACAAATTTTATGAATCGAGGACACTTAGACCCCCTTTCTTTTTTGGATTTATAAACATGATTCCACTTGACTAGGGAATTAGACTTAGAAGAATCTTGAGCAGAACCCCATAAGAAAATACATTTAATTTTATCTATTGCATTGGTAAGCCATTTGGGGAGCTTAATTAAAAAAAGACATATAATAAAGAGTAGTGGAGGACAAAACTAAATATGCCTCCCCATAATCGAAAGATTCCTACTTTTCCGCATGTATAAACTTCTTTTGAAAGAATCCAACAAGAGACTGCCAATCTCGTCTCTAGAGAGGGGAATTTGTTAAAGATTTAGGAGATCACTAATATCTCGAAAAACCTAAAAACAAAGCAGATGCTAAAAAAAAGTTCAGCATCAGAGCATGAGTACAAACAGAAGCACTAGGATTAAAAGCAAAAAGAACCACACTCAGGGGCTGTTTGTTTGCGATTTGGATAGGGGGGAAGCCTGCCAAAAGTGCAGCTTTTGACAGGCTTTTCACCCAAATCGTCTCATTTAGAGGCGATTTGGGTGGAAAGCCTGCCAAAAGTTACACTTTTGACAGGGTTTGTGCAGGCTTTCCAGTCCTTTCCCTTTGAAAAACCTCTTTCCAAACAGCCCCTCAACTTCTTTTGCTGCTATGATCAGGGGAATTAAGGAAAGGAAAGGAACTCAAGCAAAGCAACAATAATTTTGAAGGTAAGTACTTAGCAGCCATGTTCAATCAAAATAACCTTTAGAAATGAATTTGATTCCCCTCCACGGCAACCAGGTCACATTTTCTCAACCATAAACGTCGAAACAATTAGTAATATAATTATGATTTGTTTTTAGTGAAAAACCAGAAATAACGCTCATACGATATTCTCTGAATAGTGATAATTGTACATAAGAGTTATACTATAATCGCTGCACAACACAAAATAGTAGCGCAACTCTTATGGTACACTTATCGCATTTTCCATATCCTACTGCATTAAAAGTAAGCGCTCTATACCAACAATCTTAAGTTTTCTTTATTGAAGATTCTAGTTAAAAGGAGATGAAGCATGTCAATTGATTGGGTGGACAGCACGTAGTTGGTAATCATCCCTAGATTTGGAGGGACGCTTGACACTTCTCATATTAAAAAAATTAGGGGGATTAAAACAAACCAATCATGTGTTCTCCAAAATATTCTAAGGCAATGCTTGACTACCTGAGGTCATAATGTCTAGCCAATTTGCGTCTAACCAATTTGGTTGAGCTAGGTCCATGATTAGTTCACTGCTCAAGTTTAGTTGGGGCCTAAACTTTATTGATAGATAATAATTATGGATTTATGAAGATGGTACTATAAAGAGACGGTGGGATGAGAGTAAATTAGAAATTTGCGTGTGCTTCGTCTGCTTTTGTACAGAGGCAAATGATCAAGACACAACTTCACTAAGCGTGAAGCACTTCTCCTAACACCTTCTTCCATCTGACTCGTTTGAGTTGAAAACATGCACATATTAGGTACTTTCCAGCAAGGTAGAGCTTAGATACTCATGATTTGGTACGCAAAAACAATTGGGTCATCCTCATTAATTAGAATGGCTCTTATGCCCACATTTATAATCTATTCATGTCACACCTAAGGTCTCTATGCTGTGGTCAGCATACAAAGAATAGATCGACTTCCCATTATATTATATATATATATATATATATATATATATATATATATATATATTATATATATATTATATATATATATATATATATATATAATACTATATATATATATATATATATATAATATATCGTGCAAAAAGTTCTATTCATTCGGAAACTGTTAAAATTAGACCGTCGAGTGGCATGAAGGCCGTCAAACACGACGGGTTCACTCCAAAATTGGTATGTTTGGTTTAAGAACGTGGTAGATACGTTCAACGGAGCGGTATCGAAAAATTAAATAGCGATGATGCTGATTTTAGGCCGCCATCCTTAGGTAGAATCTATTTTTATATATAAGTTTATATATATATATATATATATATATATATATATATATATATATATATAGAGAGAGAGAGAGAGAGAGAGAGAGACTTTATCTGTTGACATAGACATTTTCTTAAACAGGCAGTCCTCATTTATAGTGCTTTCCAATTGTGCCACCTACAGCCCATCTAGGCCTAGCCCATATACGTGAGGTGTTGAGCATTTCAAAGTTGTCTTCCTCCAATTTTCTTAAACGGGCGGTCCTCATTTATAGTGCTTTCCAATTGTGCCACCTACAGCCCACTAGGCCTTAGCCCATATACGTGTGGAGTTAAGAATTTCAAAGTTCTCTTCCTCCAATTCCGCATTAACCAAATTCCCCAACCATTCATTTAACTAATCCATTATTATTATTTTTCTAAATAACAATTAGGACCAAAAATGAAAACAATGGTGGGGAGTATTTTTGGTATTATATTTTCTAGATATAAATATAGATTGAGTAGGATCATCCACCTTTTTCCTCCTTTTCTAAACGAGGCTCCCTTAATCTTGATCATAATAGGGGAATTTAGAGAATTTATGGTTATTCAATAGAGTCTGTTGTTAGAGGAGTTTTTTTTATTTTAGTTTTAGTTTTAGTTTTTTTTTTCGTTTTATGAGGATGTATTGTAGATTGACCGTCAGATGATGATTGTCCTTGACAGAAATTACAATGTATATTGCTCCCTTTTTCACTAAGGGCTTGTTTGGATTGAGGGGAATGAGGGTGAAGGGAAGTTAGGGGAACCATTCACCTCCATTCACCTTGTTTGGGAACACTTAGGAGGTGAAGTTAATTCACCTCCATTCACCTTGGTTCACCCCCTAATAGTATAAAAATTGTTACCCCCCAAATTGGGGTGTAACCAAGGGGAAGGGAATTCCCTTCCCTTCCCTTCACTCAGTTTCCCTTAACTTCCCTTCACCCCTACGAATCCAAACAGGCCCTAAGGTTTTTCTCTCTTCTGCTTCCTCATTTAATCAATTTATTAAAAAAAATTTTTAGTATTTGTCATGTTGAGGCTAAATTTTGTTTTGTCTTTTGTTTTAGCTACGGAGGAAGATTACAACGGAGGTAGTTGTAGAACTGCCGGTTTTCTTGGATAATTGGAAGCTTCTGCTCGCGGGGCTCATATTCCAGGTATTATTATTATTATTATTATTATTATTATTATTATTATTATTATTATTATTGAAAATGTGATTGATGAGGGTATGACAGTTTTGACTCATTTTTGGATGTGAAAATGGTTGGATAATTTGGACCGGTGAGAAATAAACGGCAGTACAATACAATAACATTGTGCTGAAAATCAATAAGTACTGTTAAAAGTTCATAATTTCAATACTGTTAAGAGTTCATGGGAACACGGAGAGACACAACGGCCAAAATAAACAAATCTTTGAATAGTTCGGTAGATTGTGAACTAATACTAGGTGGTTGCACGATGTTTTGCACGTGGTTAAATGTCATAGTTTATTCTTTTATTATAATTCAGTTGTGAAATAATTTACTTTTTGCTGTAAAATGTATTGCGATAATCCTTCCTGACCTTTACACTTTTCTCGGTGAGGCCACCCAACATTGTTACTTCAAAATATGATATGACATAAAGACCCGTTTCGGTTAATAAAATCTCCAAGCAATATAAGAATATCCCGAGATATTTATGGTGCTTAGAAAAAACCCTCTTAACTATCTTAATTCGAAGAAACTCCTTTAGTTTGGGGGGGCATTGTGATAACACCTCTCAACTTTGAAATTTTGATTTAACCCCCTCAAATATGATATTTCTCATCACCCCCCCCCCACCCATCTTTCACTTTGCTCGGTAAATCCCGTCGTTACTTTAAAATATGAAATGATACAAATACCCACTGCAGTAAAAATAAAACTCCTGACAAATTAAATTTGGACTAATTTCTAATTTATAAATAGAAAAGATTGGAGCATTAGATGGATACTTTATCCCTTTTTATTGGTGACATGGGCAAGGATGATATTATAGCAAAGTGGACCGATTAACTTTTAATTTATAAATAAAAAATTTGGAGGACTTCGTTGAAATTAATTTAACCCCCTCAAATATGGGATTTCCCATAAAACCCCACTGACCTCACACTTTTCTCGGTAAATCTCTTTCATGTCGTTAATTCAAAATATGAAATGATGTAAATATCCAATGTAGTAAAAATAAATCTCTGAATGAATTTGAAATGATCTAAATGCATTTTATCCCTTTTTATTGGTGATTGTGGACTAACGTAGGCAAGGATGATATTATGCAAAAGTGGATCGATTAACTTTTAATTTATAAATAAAAATTTGGAGGACTTAGATGAATTTTTTTGTAGCTAATTATTTATCTAATATAATTTCTATTAGGAGATGGATGTATGATAAAGTTTGCATACATAAATAGCCATGTGTAAAGTAAGTGCATGTGATTTGATAGAAACTTGTTTGATGATAGGGATTTTAATTAAGGACTATACTTTCAAATAAACTATGAATACATATTAAGTATTCTAATTAAATATATTAATTATGATAGGATAGCAATGTAATAATCAAAAGAGTCTTGTCTAGAGAAAGTTTTTTTTCCCAAACTCCTACTTTTAAATGGAGTATGATTTACGACGGTAAGAGTATTTGTTTTCTCCCTTCTAGTTCTTTGTAATAAATGCACACAACCCCTTTCACAAATCTGTAAAATAATATCCTTTTGCTGTGGAGACATTTATGTAGCGCAAGATGGTTAACCTTAGCAATTGATCATCCTATAATGGAAACTTGTACAAATTTTGCAAAGTTAGTAGATGCAACACCAAAAAAATTTGTACTTTCAACACATGCCTTGATTTTGTGATTTTGTATTTTATTATTAGTTCAGATGTAGTGTTGCTAAGTGGGTGTTTTACTACATGTTTCTTCTTCCACTTACTAGAGTTAATAGGAGCTAATAGTTTTACTCTTTCTTATAAATTTCCGTCACTTGTGAATGTTTCTCTTTTGTACATCTCATTTTTCTTTAATAAATATTTTCATTGACCCACATATGGATTAACTTTGAGACTTATGCCATAATTTTGGCTGTCCCTAGTATATTCATGGCCTGGCCGTTCATGGAGTTCACTATTTCCACAGGCCTGGACCTGTTCTCCAAGATATCGGGTTCATTATTCTTCCGGTATGTAATCAAACGACTTTATATTTCTTATATTTATTAATCATAATTCGTTGCAGAATTAGACTTTCTTCTTTCTGTTTTAAAATGACAGCCTGTTTTATGTTTTTAATCTTCTTGTGTGCAGGAACTTGGGAAAGAGAAATTTTATATCAGCGAGACTTTCTTCTGCGTCATGTTTTTCTCATTCATATTGGTATGCATTTTGTATCTTGGCCCTTATATTATGCATGAGTATCTCTCTTATGTTCTCGATGTGTCAAATACCAGGGCTCGCATTTTTTTCTTCTTCTTCTAATAATCATGTTTATGTTTTTAAATTTACCAAAGAGTTTATGTTTGACTCTTACAGTGGACGTTTCATCCTTTCATTTACAAAACCAAATGCTTTTACACAGTCCTACTCTGGCGCAGAGTCGTGACTTCTTTAGCTGTATGTTCGTAATTGATACTATTTTTTCCTCTCGTTGGAGGTTCATTACGCTTTCGATCTAATAAAAATGACACCTGCAGGTTTCTCAGTTCTTGCGGATCATTACTTTCTATTCTACATTACTTCCTGGCCCTAGCTATCACTGTCGCCAAGTAAGAATTCTTCATTAGCATCAGAGTACAAATTTCACCCAGGGGCAATATCTGTCAGATTTTTTCACTGCCCTTGTAGTTTCGTTGGTGCAGACAGACCTTCGAAACTTAAATTTTTTTAAGCTCTTTACCCTCAGTCACTAATTTCACCTGTGGGCAATATCTGTCAAAAAATTTCACCAAGGGAAAGAATTTAACCAAGGGGTCTAACTGCACCAATGAAACTACAGAGGTAGTAAGTTCAAAACGACGATACTACAAGAGGTTTTTGTGCAATCAACCGATTTTTTTCAATGACATACCAGAACTCTGGATATGATGCACAAATTACATCTTGCAACTAGGTGCGTTAAATCAAGTAAGTTCTCAATATCATGCAGGGTTCAGAAAATGCCACAATGTCACCACCTAAAAACGTACTTAAAGTGCTTCTCATTAATTGTAAGAAGCTCACTTTTAAGAATTCAGATCCTCAGGAAGGTAAATTTCCTTTTATATTGACGTTCACTTTGTGTGTATCTTGCAGTTCCTAGGGGGGTTGTGTATGGTTGTGGTGATTTGATATTTTCATCCCACATGATATTTACTCTGGTATTTGTTCGGACATACAATAAATACGGCTCTAAAAGGTAATTAAGCTTCAAAAAACTTGAAGTCATAGAAAATAATATGTGCATACCATCACTAGTTAAGTATGCATGTAGATTTATCAAGACGCTTGCTTGGTTGATGGCTATCACCCAGAGTCTACTTATAATTGCTTCTCACAAGCATTACTCTGTCGACGTTGTTGTAGCATGGTAAGTTGGGAATTCGTCGATCAATTATCATTTTGAAGTTCCTTGATGTTATCCTGTGATTATTTCAACTCGGTTCACCTGTCTTTACTACAGGTACACTGTAAATTTGGTGGTATTTTTTATTGACAAGAAATTACCAGGTCTATGTTTTATCTGGTCATGTTCCTCTAATAAGAATATCTTGCGTTTGGTTGAATCCCTTGAACATGCATTATAAAGATAAATATATATGATTCTGCAATTGATACATGCACTTGATTTCATTGGTAAAATCTCTTATATCTCTGTGATTTGCAGAAACTAGTGTTTTAGACCACCTGTGCAAAGCACGAGCTGTTACTTACATTCTTGTATATACTAAATTTATTGATGAGTGTATAATATGTGTCCTTGTACTCACTTGACACTATATAATATGAGTATATCATTTGATGTTATCTCCTAAGAGGTATATGAAAATCACAAAATTTTATTCATAATTTAGGTATGTATGTATTATACTTATCGAGCATAAGAATCTCAGTATTGCAAGGAGACTTCCTCACGTAACAGCTTGAACTTTGATTCACAGAAATGCCTGATAGAACTAGTAGCAGTGGATCTCTGTTGCCATTGAGCACCAAAGAAACAGACAAACGCAAAGAGGAGCACAACAAGCTACTGAATGATACTGCTGATTGGGTATATTACTACTTACGCATATTCTTCTCATCTCCAAAAAACTCAGAAATATGTGTTACATAAAAACAAGTAACTTTCATTTTTCTGTTAATTGCTGATAGACCCCATGTAGGTCCATAATTGCTGATATAACCACTTAGTATCAGCCAATTAGACCCGAGTGGAAATTTTCTGACTCTTTTACCCACAACAAATAGAACTACAATGGGTCTTTCCGCAACTAACCCTATTTTTATTATCTAAAATTAATTATTGTTTTTCGTTCAGAGACAAAGAACCCAAGTGAACGGGAAGCATCAAGACAATGGGAGCCATTTCTATATTGAAGAACATTGAATGGCCTGTAGTGGATAATGCGAAGCTGTAACAAAGGTTGCTGGTTGATGGAGGATCATTGCTTTTCTTTTTGGCCCTTAACCTATGTGCATATTTGAATGTAAATTAGAGATTCACCAGGAGTTTTCTTTTCATCTTAAGTTGTGTTGTAAATCATTTGATTGATTTAATTTGCAACGTATAGTTTTATGAAAAATTCTTTAGGAACCTAAAATATGGGACCAATAGGGGGGACAAGTGAGGTATCCTCCTCCTATTGGATAATGAGTTAGCCATCAATAATGATGGTCAACTCATTATCCAATAAGAGGGGGACACCTCACTTGTCCCCCCTATTGGTCTCATATTTTAGATCCCTATAGCAAAGCTCTAGTTTTATTTCTTTTGGCATTCTGAGTTTGATAACTGTCCCTGTTTCTACTAATTTTCTTTTTATTACAATTTCACATTTCATCGCTGTTCTCATGAATTCCCATTACGCATCTCTTGCTGTCTTGCCTAAAATCCCTCTCATCATTCAGTACTAATTGATCTAAAGATGAGTGGAATGAAGAAGATTAATGCAGAAAACAATTGCTTATTTTATTGATGGTTATATTGAGTAAATACTACAAGTTGATAACTAATGGAACCTAACAGAGAAATTGAAGACGTAACAGACCCCAAAAAAAATATCCTTTGATTATTAACATGTTTCTCTTTCGACATTGTTCAATGATGGAATAAGTGTCTTCTTGAATCTAATACAAATCAATTGTTTGCAGCATTCTAAAGCTAAGAATGAAATATCCCTTCATTCAAACCCAGAAAGGGAATTCTTCAACTTTTGTGAAATGCATTAGAACATACATTGAAGTAATAAAGCCTTCATCAAACATAAACTGAGTAACAAACTAAAAAACACAAATGCAACAAACATTTATATATCTACTCAGAAAACATTCATACAGATAGATATGTAAGGGGGAAAAAAAGATGGATAGTTATGTTAAGGCAAAAGAAAAAAGTAATGAAATGAACACATTAGATATTAACAAAAGAGATCTGGAGAAGTAACAAGATCTAACTCAGTGCCTAAATGTGTCAGAATTTTTCTATTGATGCTCCGCTGCCATGGTTAGATTCCAATATCAATCAGTTACTGTCATCAGTGGAAGAATATCTATGCACTGCTATTGCTGCCTTTAGCTGCAAATAAATTAATGCAATATCCAATTAGACAAATTAATAGACACCTCATAAATTTCTAAAAGAGTGAAAATGGTTTAAAAAAAAGACTTACAAGGACTTGAAATCATAATGCGCTTTGTTATACTTCTCATAGTAGTCATTGTATCAAGACCTGTTAAAAAAAATTCAAGGTATTCAGCACATAACATAGACTAAGGAAATATATAAGGCAGTCACATGCAAAAGATGAATTAAATTACCTTGAATGTTCATGTCCTTTTGAGAGAAAATTTCCGTAACTGTATTTGTTGCTAAGCCTCCATTGCCTACATTTTCCTCCTGATTGCACTCACTTTATAGAATAAAAATCAACTAGTTAAAATTTTAGCAGAGAAACAAAGAACAGGTAAGAAGAGATAAGTGTGATAAGAATTATACCCAGGAAGGAAATCAACAGGAGCAGAAGATTGCTGAGAAGTGTGTACTTGTTCACAATCAAGATCAATATCGCAAAGGAGCTTGGTGAAATCGCCATCGAAAAAATCAAAATCAGGAAGATCAAAATCAAAGCTTCCTGCAGCTTCTCCATCAGTTGAAGGAGAACTCTCAGTAGCAGCTTGCTCCTCTGAACTCTGGGGAGCAGAAGCCTCATCAAAATCTAACCTCCCTTTTACATGATCTCTTTTATTCACCTTCTCTGGACTTGGTTTCAAAGGTGAAGCTGAAACTTGGTAGCTCCTCTCAACAGAAAAATAACCCTTTTGTTTGAGGGGGCTTATTACAATTGTTTCAGAAGAGATTATTGCACAGCTAGAAGGAACATTTTTATGAGAGCTACTAGCACCATTGGGATTAAAAGATGAATTTTCCACAGGAGACAGAGATTTGCCATTTTGAGACAGTAATGCTCGTGGAGGAGTCTTCGGAGAAGAAGAATTGGCTCGAGCTTCGTGTTGATTTTTAAATAAGTTTTTTGCAACTGAAGAGCCTTGAACTGGAGGGCGAGATATTGACCTGGATATTGAATTAATAACTGAATCGTTCCCCATTTTAACTTGAGTATTGTTTGTAGATGGTGCTTCTCCAGTTGACACAATATCTGAGAAAGTGAAGAATGTTTATAAGAATGAAAATAATTTTTATAAGAATGAACATCAAAAGAAGTTAGTACATATTAGTTTACAAGTTTATTTTACCTTCTATCATGTGTGGGTCTTTAGCTGATCCAATACGATACTTCTTTGGAGGGGGAGGAGCTTTGGGAGCAGACCTTGAAGCCTTTCTCTTTTCACTTGATGATTTGCTAGGCACTGGAGTTGAATACTTGTTAATTTCGTCAACTCTAGGCGGCATAATGGTTGGTTGTGCATGATTGACAAAAGATCTATGTATGGTATGACCTACATATAGAGTATAAAAGAAATCCAATCAGTGATGCAGCAGTTGTGAATAAGAGATGTGCGTTTAAGAGCAATGTTAATTGGTTAACTGATATCATTTTTTGGCATCATAAGAAAATTGCAGACATATGCACAGATGTGAAGTTGATGACACATAAGTATTTTCGTACCCACCGTCTTACTCGTCAGAAGAAAGAAAAAAGTGAACATTTAGGTGTTATTTTTGCAAGAATACTAAAAATATGTTGGATACACCAAGAGAAGTGGCATCACCAAGTGAGCATAAAGGCTACAATGAGTAAGATCAACAAAGAGAAGTCCAATATCAAGGAGAAACTATTTATGCATGCACATTGGACGATTTATCATACTGTCTCAATCCATTGTGAATGATTATTTTTTTTAAAAAAAGGTCAAATATAAACATCAGTGCCGCAAAATTCATTGCAATATTCCCATAAGAATAGTGTAAATACACAAAACCAGCAGTATCCAGAGAATAACATGTAACATCAACTTTATCCTAGTATGTAGAGCCTGCAATGGACATCTATTGTGATAAAGAAAAGAATCGAAGAATACGATGAGGATTTCAATTCATAGAGGAAAAACATTGTAACTTTCTAATAAAAGTATCGCGTCCATATTTCCAAGCTACATATAGCATATATAGATTTATACTCACAGCCATTGATAGATTTACCTATATGAAAAAAAATGCAGCTTAGTTTTCACGCAGAGCAACAAACATGGATCACAACAAATTGCTTCTTTTAAACCATTTTTCAAACATGGATCACAACAAATTGCTTCTTTTAAACCATTTTTCACCAATGTAATAAAAAAACATGTGTGGTTAAGTTATGACCAACAAATTTCCAATTACAACTCAGGCATTGCCCTCAAAATTCATTACCACCTATAATTCGTTGGGGTTTTCTAGAAATTCAGCTACTAATTCTTTTTTTAATTATATAAACAAACTTCTAAGAAATACATATGAAGATTCGAATTTGAAAGATTAAAACACTGTTTACATTCACTAACAATTTTAATGAGCTTAATTCTTTAGAAAAATAAAAATTAATGATTTATAATCACAGTTTAGTTTAATTAACACTTGAAATTGCAACGGTATTCAAATAATTTCGACTATACCTTGAGGAGGAGACCCATTATTAGGATCAGCTCCCTGATGGAAATCCCAGCTTGGCGCCATCGACACCTGCGGCGGCAAACTCATCGGCGACTGCGGCGAGTTGTAAGCCCCCATCACGTCCTGAAACCCTTGGAACGCGGTCTCGAGCCTCCTCTTCTCCTGATCCACCATCACCCTCTGCTCCTTCAACGTTATATACTCGTCCAGTATATCCCCCAACCCTAACAGCCCTTTCGGCACCTAGAAAAAGCCCTTAAAAAAATTAGAAAAAAAAAACGGATTTTTTTTTATCCCAGAAACTAGGGCGAAAGAGCGGCGAGGTTACCTCTTTGCCCTTGGTCTTCGAGAAGAGGTCGGAGGCCTCGGATCGGAAAGCGGCGAGGGTGTTCTCGTAGCTGTTGTCGGCGAGGAAGCGGTCGACGATGAAGGCGACCTGGATTGGGGTCACTTTGCCCTTCCCCGTGGCGCTGGGCTTCTTTGATTTCGTGGTCTTCGCCATCGGAAATCGAGACTTGGGACCGAGGAGGGTGGGAGATTGAAGGGAAAGGGGAGGCTTTTTAGCGAGAGGGTGAGAGATAAAAAAAATGGCGGGAGATTTTCCCACGTTTTTTCGGGGGAGAAAGTGACGATGGCGGGAGTGGGATTTCCCCCCATTTTTTTTTTTTTAGAAAACCGGAACCGGCGTTTTTTTTATACACTAGTTTTTACACACGTACAATGCACGTGACTTAATACCATGAGTATTTTTGGCAGTTTGTGCTCATTTTTTTCTTTAAACTCTTACATCCCGATTATTTTTTTATGTTTGTTTAAATGGGATACACCCAATTTAAATTTTCATGTTGATATTTGAATTGACAAAAAACAAATATAATTTAAAAATAATTTGAATTTTCATATTATTTTTGATCGATATGAAACTAAGCTTTATTTGAGAAAGTATAGCATTACAAAGTGAAAAATATTAAAATAGTGTTATACAAGGAAGATGAATATTTAAAACCAATATGACAAAATGATTGATTTAAAGTAAGTTAAAACGATGCAAAAGAAAATATGAAGTTTATTCCTAATCATTGATAGACTTCATAAAAAAATATAAATTAAAGATTAATACTAGCTCTAGTATACTTTTATATGATAAAAACATCCACATAAGAATATAAAAGTACTGAAAAAAATTCATGAAACTCCCTTCTAAAGATTCCTAATTTCATTCAAAATAATTAAATTATTCTATAAAATATTCTTAAAATATTGTTTTTATTTATTCTATTTTATTTTTTATTGAGTTAAGATCAATCCTTCTTCAGGTTTATCATTTATCATTTCTCGGACAATTCTAGAGTATTGTCTTCATCATCTACATCAATTGTGACATCAGGCTAATTTTGTATTTTTATGCTATTATCTTTCCTAGGCTCGTTAATTTTTTATCATCTCATTTAACTTTACAAAGAAGTCAAATGTACTTATGATGTTCAACACAAACTGCTCAAAATATAGACTTTGATTTTTTTTTTCTATTTCAATGAGAATAAATATTAATTTTATATATATGAAATTTTTTGTGTTCCTAATTTATTACTTAAATAAATTAGAAACTATCTCTTTATTTTCCTCTAAAATGAATTCTTCTGATGTGCATCCAATAAGAATTTCTGTTATTTCAATAACATTACATTTTCTCTATCCCTGTTATTTTCCATAAAGATCTAAACTAAATACTTGTATTATTCATTACCAATTTCTCTTAGATTATAATATTAATATTTAATTTGAAGAACACAGTATGGAATTTATGAATACTTACTAATTTTTCTTATGTCTTCCATGGAGATTTTTTCTTTGATTAGGATAAAGTTATTAAATTATTTTTTAATGTAACTCATTCAGTGCTTCATTAATAGATATGTCTTATGTTAATGCCAATTCAAGTGATTCATTGACGTTTTCTGAATTTTAGATTTATTTCCATCACTTTCCCATTTGCAATGGAAATAACTCAATTCTTTTAAAGTTATCTCTAAATATTCTAATAGTTTCTCCATATGTAATTCCTTGTATTCTTTTACCCTATAAATATTATTAACGTCAAAGATTAAAGTTTCTAAATTAAAATCAATTAATGCTAAGGTATAATATTATAGTGTTTTATCATTTCTATGGATTTAAACATCTATCAATTAATGTTACGAATGTATTTTGGCTACCCTAACTTATTACTAAAATTATATAAAATTATTTTAATTTATATGGTGCTGATAATTTTTAATATATAATATTTTTAAAAAATTTATCCATTAACCAGATGTTTTTAATCAATTCTTATTGTTTTTGTTTACCAGTATCAACTTAGACTATTCTTAGATGCTAAAAATGGATAGTAAATCCCTAAATTAGAAATTTTAATATATATATATATATATATATATATATATATATATATATATATATATATATATATATATATATATATATATATATATATATATATATATATATATATATATATATATATATATATATATATATATATATATATATATATATAT